TGCTTGCCTTGGAGACACTGGTACATGGAAATCTCACTGGGTTGCTTGGCTGGGATTGCATTAAACAGCAAAGTACAACATCATGGGCTGAGTGGGGCTTTTGAGGTGCTTGATCAGTGAGAGGTAGGGGGGGATAGTGTGTGTGTGTGTGTGTGKGTATTAAGGCCAGGGTTTGATTACAGGCTCCCCAGGGAATGGTCACAGGCCCCAAGGCTGCCAGAGCTMAAGGAGCATTTGGTCAACACTCTCAGGCATAGGGTGGAATTGTTAGGGTGTCCTGGGCAGTGCCAAGAGCTGGACTTGCTCATCCTTGTGGGTCCAACTCAGAATATTCTGATTAGCAGTCTCAGCCTTTTGAGGAATGACACTGGGGGTTCCGATGCTCCAGTGGTGAAATCTGCTGTTTCCTCTATGGGCAGGCACTTGGCGAGGGATGCTTTTTCCTTGGAGGAGCTTCTTAGGCTGAACTAAGGCTGTGCCTAGCCTGGTCTGCCCAAGGGCTTTGGGCTTCTCCAGCTCAGGGAGGTCAGAACAGACCAGAGTTTGTGTGCTGCACAGCTGGGAGCRGTGCCCTGACTTCTTCTCCAGGCCCTCCTTTGGCTTAGTCTGCTATTTCCCTGTCTATAGTATGGCAGTAAAATCCTTAGGGAGTGTTGACTGAACCTTGGTTATTAATTGAGGTAAGAGCCTCTGAACAAATGGGCAGCATTGTCTCTCATTGTCATCATGTCAGGTACAAAATCTTGAGCCTTTTATTGTTGGGTCCCTGCAGTGTRAATAGATAAGGTGATCTCTCATTGCTCCTGTAATCAGGACTTGGCTTGTGATGTGACTGTAGCCCYTGGGGACTGAAGCTGCTTTGAGTGATATGATTAGAGAGGACTCCTGTTTGCATACTTGCCCTGTGTGAGCTTGGTGCCAGCCCAGTGACTGGGTGTCAGCACRGGATTTGAGCCATGGCATATATCATTCATTTCCATGCAATGCTRCTCTTCCCCTTTCTGTTCCTGAGGGGTTTGATGGATGGGGATGAGCCTCAGCAGGTGTCTTTCTTGCTCATCCCATGTGCATCAGTAAGATGCAGCCCAAGTTTRGTGAAAGTGCAGCCAAAGAGCACAGAACACTTCCTGATGGAATCCCGTTGCTTYCCAGGGATTGTATCCCAGAGCAAAGCCCAGTGTGTGTGCACAGATGCTGCTTTGCCTTCTCCTGGGCTGTTGTGTAACTGGGTGGGCTTACACTGTTCCACAGCCTGTGGATTCAGAGGATGAGCCAGGAAGGACAAATGTTTACAACCTGGTCGAGCCTTGCTATGTGTTCTGGTAGATCTGTCTGGTGGTTGAATGTTCACTGTAACACCCCAAGGACCAAAGTGTCTGGCACCCCTCTGCTCTGCTCAGGTGAGACCTTAACTGCGGTGCTGCATCCAGCTCTGGGAATTCCAGCATCACAAAAATTTGGAGCTGCTGGAGTGAGTCCAGASAAGGCCACAGAGATGCTCCAAGGGCTGGAGCCAGGCTGGAGCTGGGCCTCCCTTTTTGGGAAGGTTTCTAAGGATAGATTGCACACCCTGGCACATGCTGTTGTCCCAGACTTTCCTCACCTGGAGGAGAGAAGGCTCCAGGGAGACCTTGCAGATGCTTCTAATGCCTAAAGGGGCTCCAAGAGAGCTGGAGAGYGACTTTGGACAAGGGTCAAGAGAGACAGGACAAGGAGGAATTGCAACAACTGAGGCACGGACTCCACGTTGGCATGTGAAGATGTGAAGACTTCTATTGCGCAGTAGTAAATTCCTTATATATCGTAAATTAACCTGGAAGTAATTCTACACTGCAACACACTCCAATCAATTAYCTTGTCTCATAATAYTGCCTTTTATGGTRCTAGGTAAACAATACCTTTTACAGTAGCGGTGTTCTTTTAGTCTTGCGTGAACGAGTAGTTCAGCCTGGAGAAGGTTGGATGGAACTTCTCTTGTGGCTTACCTACTTAACTTGTGATCAGTTATGTTTACTAATTCTAAGGCTTCTTCCGCAGCAAGGACAGGAGATAGGCCTGACTTTCAAGGTCTGTTGTTTTGCTGTTACCACTGTCAATGTTCTGTAACCTTACAAGGAATGGCTTCCTACTACCAGAGGGCAGGGTTGGATGGGATATTGGGAAGAAATTCTTCCCCATGAGGGTGGTGAGGCCCTGGCACAGGTTGCCCAGAGAAGCTGTGGCTGCCCGCAGATCCCTGGAATTGTTCAAGGCCAGGCTGGACAGAGCTTAGAAGAAACTGGTCTAGTGGAAGGTGTGCCTGCCCATGGCAGGGAGTGGAACAAGATGAGCTTTCAGGTCCCTTCYGCTCTACACTAGTCRGATTCTTTGSTTTTGGATCAGGGACCTTTTGGGGACCCCCTTCCCCAATCCAGGCTTACAGCAGGTCTGAAGTGAAGGTGTTCACTTTGGTCCCCTCTCTGGCTTGGAGACATGGGGACATCTGCTCTAGCCTCTTSTGGTGCACTGGTATTAAAGGGGAGATTTTCCTTGGGGTTGGCTCTTTGTTAGCTGCATGCAGGCCTTGGGTGCAACATCACAWTGTCAGTGGGAAGAGGTGATTGATTGGAGTCCAGCTGCTCAGCTAACAGTGATGTGTGCAGCAGGATCCTTGGCTACTGTCCCAGCCCAGGACATTGGCYCTGGAGATGCACAGCGGGTGATTGAACCTGGCAGCTGGCTTATCCCATGTCTGCATTCAGGAAGCGGTGCCATCAGCTCAGGCAGTTGCAGCTGCTTCCCAAAGGAATGTGTCACGTTGCCATCTGTCCCTGCGTAATRTAACATACTGGCTGCTGAGCCAGGAACAGGACTTGGCATCTTCCTTTGGATTTGTGGCTCTCGTGCAGTGCTCTCTGTGTTCAGGCCTGGCTCTGCTTCCCACCCTGGCTGGGTGGGAAGTTAGATTTTGCTGTGGTGCAGTGGCGTTTTTTGCAATGAGAGCACCTCCAACAGACTTGGGCAGAGCTACAGGAAAAGATAGGAACTAAATCGACTTGTGTTGGGTAATTGTTCTCGATGAGAACCTGTACCTTGGTCTGATTCCTGTCCCCAGAAGACAGCAGAGGATCATGCTGGGCGCACTTTGCATCCAGCTCCTGCAGAGGAGTTGGAGATGAAGCCTCCTCGAGTATGTGGCCAAAGCCAGTCATGTTGTTCTGAGCTAAAGGCCAGGCCTCCCTTTTTGGGAAGGYTTCTAAGGATAGATGGCACACCCTGGCACATGCTGTTGTTGTCTCAGGCTTGAAGCTGCTTGGGGGYCAGCTCTCCCCAGATTTAGCAGTAGCAAAGGATGGGGTGTCCTATAGTGGGCTGTGTGCTTGTGGCAGAGGTTGTGAGCTGCCAAGGTGGATGGGAAGGTGCCTCCCATCACCAAGTTAGCATGGGACTGTGGGAAGCAGGAAGGGARCTCTGTTGCTGCCCTTATTTCAGCGGATACAACTCCAGGCAGAGTATCTGACATGCACAGAAACACCCTGAGCTGAATCAAAGCACCAGGTTCAGAACTATGACAGCATCTCCTCTCTGAGTGAAGAGGGAAAACCTGCGATACTTGTGGGTACCTGCTGCAGGTGTGGCTTCGCTGTGAAAGTTGGATGGACTTGACACCTCTTGGACTGGCTGAGTGGTGATGGCCTTGCTCTGGGGGAGCTGGAGCCCTGCAATGCCTGTTGTGCCCAGACTGCATGGATCTGTCTGTGCTCAGGGAAGAGGCAGAGCCAGGGAGGAGCATCAGCTCAGGGCCCTCTGACAGCTCCCAGGTTTCACTTCTGAGGTGGTGTCTTATCTTCTGGGAATGACATTGACCACCTCATAACCCTTTGAAGAAGCCTGGACTTCCTTCTGTGAGAGCTTCTCATAGCTTCTCACCTACCCCTAACCCAAAAAGAACCCAGAAGAGATGGGCACAGGGTGCTAAGAACAGCAGAGGGTATGTCAGCCCTTGATGATGTCTGGGGGTATTTGGTGCTGTGCTGCCTCTTYGTTTTGATGTGTATGTTTAGACAGRGTGTTTCTGCAGTGCTGGAGGAATACTCAGGGTTGATAGCAATAGTCAGTGGGAAATTCCTGCGAAGTTCTTGTTTTTCGTGTGAGACACCATCAAGTAGWATCAGAGGTATCAGGGAGGCTTTTCTGCTGGGGTTTGGGACTGTTTCAATCGCTGCTGACCTGAGGCTGATGTCAGTGCTATCTGGGTTTGAGCTCCAGCCTGCTTTGATGCCCACATGGGAGTTCAGGTGGGATTTTTTCCTGGAACCATATAATGGTTTGGGTTGGAAGGAACCTTAAAAACCATCTCATTCTAATGCAGGGATACCTTGCACTAATGCAGGCTGCTCCAAGCCCTGTCCAGCCTGGCCTTGGACACTTCCAAAGGATGAGGCTGCTGCAGCTTCTCTGGGCAGCCTGTGCTAGGGCCTCACCAGCCTCATGGGGAGGATTTCTTCCCARTATCCCATCCAACCCTGCCCTCTGGCAGTGAGAAGCCATTCTCCTTGTCCTGTCCCTCCAGACCCTTGTCCAAAGTTTCTCTCCAGCTCTGTTGGAGCCCCTTTAGGCACTKGAAGGGGCCTCTGAGGTCTCCCCAGGTGAACACCCCCAGCTCTCCCAGCCTACTTCCAGAGCTGAGGGGCTACAGCCCTCAGAGCATTTCTATGGCCTCCTCTGGACTCGCTCCAGCAGTTCCACATCTTCTGATGCTGGAATCCCCAGAGCTGGAGGCAGCTCTGCAGGTGGTGAATCACSTGAGATGAGGGAAAAAAGGAGAAGGAGAAGCTGTGCTGGACCTTAGCAATATCACATTGCTGCAGTAGCAGCACCTCTTTTGACAAGAGTAGTGCTCTTTTCCTGGCTCTGCTGGGACAGGCTCCATGGGAGAGCCRCGTCTTAGAATGCTGATGTGTGACAGTGGTGAATAAAACTGCTCTCAGCTAATATGACTTCTGTTATTTCTTTTGCAGGAACGCCAAGGCCGTGTCAAGTAAAAGGCCATTCGTCCCCCACAGACTGCAGCAGAGATTGCATCCCAGCTGTCTTTCAGAGAGAAAGGAGCAAGAGTATCCCAGAGAGAATTAGGACTTTTTTTCTTAATTCCTTTGACTTCAAAAAGACTTTTGCAAACTTCCAGTAAAAAAAAAAAAAGAGGTATTGGAATATTGCAAGGCATAGGACTGAAAACAAGAAAAAAAAAATCCCTTGTAGGTAGAGCAGAGATAAAACCTGTCCCCTTTCTTTTGGCTTTGGTTGTAATTTCAGAGCATACGCTTTGTTTTTTGTCTTTTTACTATGGTTTTTGGATTTYCAAGTCCATAAGTGGCATATGCCTTTTTTTTTCTCTAATTTTTAAATCCCACCATTTCCCTCCTTCCACCCAGTTGTGCCTCCTTCCCTGGTTTTGACATTTGCACTTGGAACGCTGAATTGTAACAGCCACCATGCAAAGTGGAGTAACTTTATTTTTCTTTCTTTCCCTGGCCTGGAAGAGGAGCAATTCTATGAGGAARTCGGGGTTTTGGCCTAAGAAGAATTGAACAGAAAATTGCCCACRAGGTTGTGTCTTAAAGGTGGTTCATTTTTCTCCTTTGTTACTCAGAAGTAAAGTACTAGGAGTCCTAAAACATGTTCTGTTCTTGTGCATTATATGGATTTAAAGATTAAGTCTGAGTTTGATTTTTTGAAAGCTGAGAACAGTGGTAAAAATTAACTTTGTTTACAGGAAAAAGAATTTTGGACAATAAAAAGCCCAAAACAAACCAAACCAAGGAAGAAATACTGTAAAATGTGTAGTGACTATGTTTCAGTTTCTTGTTAAGCCAATGAGGAATGGGCGTTGCCTTTCTTTTCACCATTAATCACTTCTCAATAATAAATGTGAGATCCTGTTGAGCATCACTGCTGTCTCCTGCTCCCTTCCCTGTGCTGTCAGCTCCTTGGATTCCAACTATAGGAAAAATACCTGAAAATAAGGAGTAGAGAGGTGATTTCTCCTTGGGTTTGAAACAGGATGCTTTCACCTGGGCATCTCTAGYTCAATCCTGGGGCTGTTCCCAGCCCTTTGGGATTGTTGTGGCTCCCTAATGGGGCCTGGCTCCAGGTGCAAGCAGGAGGTGATGCAGAGATGTCATTTGGTGCACCTCAATGTCACTGGGAGAGTGAAGATGCAGTGGAGAAGGTGAGAAGTTTGTAAGTGGGGTTAGGTGGGGTGCTCCCAAATAAGGGATGTTACCGCCCAAAAATGCATGGAAGTTTTGGGGGYGGGTTTGTGCAAAAAATTATAAAAGCCTTTAGCTTTTCTTATCTTTATATAAAGACCCTAACCCTGCCCTTGGAGCCCCAGACACCCCCTGCGACCTTACCTGGAGACATTGGGGGGCTTTGTTTTTTTCCCCGAGGAAAAGGGCTACCATTGGCATCCAGGAGCCCTTGGCTGAAAGAGGGGTGCCGCCTCCTAAAACCCTAAAATCAGGATTTCTCCCAGACCAAAGCTGCCAGCAACCAGAACTCTGGCTTCCCTTGGAACACCAGACTCTGACCAAGGTGGGAGACACGGGTTGTATTCACTTTCCCAGGTACTGCTGAAGTGACAGGTTGCAGCAAACTTGCATATGCGTGTGTGTGTGTGTAGAACCAGCTCTAATGCTGGTGTGAGCTGGGAAATGAAGATTGGGAAGCTGGAAACAAGTCCCAGAAACTGGCTAAAATGGGATGGATTTTTCCCATGTGTCTGAAAACCACTTTTGTTTTTTTTCTTTAGGAATTCAATGCTGAAGTGATTCTGAAGGTGTTGGCATTTCATTTAATGCAGTTTTTGTGAGGTGCTGGCTCAGTACCTTTCTTGCAGCTGATTCAAGTGCCCCTGATTTGAGAAAGTTCTGATTTTTTCTCTGCTTCTCACAGATGTACAGGAGCTGGAATCCCAGTGGTGCAGTGATCCACCAGAACTTGTGTGTTAATGTTAAGTCCTGCCAGATGATTTTTCAGAGGTGAAGTTCCATTGAATCTGTATAAAAAAATGGAAGCCCTGAAGCACAAGAAGCTGTGCTGCTGGACCTGGTGGCCTTGGTGTGCCCCTGGCTGTACCTGTTCAGGTGTTCCCCTGCTGCGCTGTCGGTGCTGTGGGGGTGGGCAGATCCAAAGGGCTGGACTTAAACTCCAGGGAGGTGTTTCGGAGTAGGCAAGCAGGAGCAAGGCAGAGCTGCTTCTAGGCCTTCCTGTCTTTCATTGGTGTGGTTTAGTYGTTTTTTCAATCTCTCTTGCTTTGCTTCTCACTTTTCAGTCTATTCCTCRCTGTACTTTGCTATTTCTGTCTCTAACTCTATGTCTCTAACTCTGTTTTTCTGTTTCTCTGAGTGTTTCTCTTGCACCACGTTTTGTATTTATTCTTTTTTTCTTCTTTTTATATATAGTATATAGGGCCCTTAATTAGTGCTCCAGGTGGGAGTAACTAATTAAAATTATTAATCACTATACTACCTTTAATTAGTTACTCCCATCTGGAGCGCTAATTAAATTATATAATTAACTTAATTAATTGGGTAATCAGTTAATTAGCCAGTTTTTGGCCGCGACTGCACTAATCACTCACCCCCCGCTCATCTGGCAGTGCACAGCGCCCCCCGGTGGTCACAGGGCCACCTACAGCCCGGGGGTCACCGCGCCCCCCGCTCCGCCCCGTTTTTTCAGAGCTGTCTTAGGACA